AGCAGAGAAACTAAAGCAGATACCTTAAAAGCAACTGAGGCCAACAGGAAAAGGGGACCAGGAACTAGAGAAAAGGTTAGATCAAAAAGAATTAACCTAGAAGATAACACACACACACAGGAAATCAATGTGAGTCAACTCCCTGTATAGCTATCCTTATCTCAACCAGCAAAAACCCTTGTTCCTTCCTATTATTGCTTATACTCTCTCTTCAACAAAATTAGAGATAAGGGCAAAATAGTTTCTGCCGGGTAGCGAGGGGGTGGGGGGAAGAGGGAGGGGGCGGAGTGGGTGGTAAGGGAGGGGGTGGGGGCAGGGGGGAGAAATGACCCAAGCATTGTGTGCACATATGAATAATAAAAAAATAAAAATTTAAAAAAAGTTTGTACGTGAAGGAAATGATTCCAAACTGTACCGTGACAATTTAACTTAACTAGGTCATTGTGCAGTAAATGTGGACTATTTTTGATGGGTCACCTTGTATAATTTTCCTTGCTAGTAGTTGATCAAGAATATTTAGCTGAAAGAGAATTAAAAGGCCTTTCTTCCTGGCTATTGATAGTTTGCATCACGGGCCAGCAGTACTGGCATCACTTGGGCATGTGTTGGAACTCAGATTCCCAGGCCCCACTTCACCCCCAACTCACCCCCACCGATGGATCAAAGTCTGGATCTTACTGTGATTTCTCAGGTTATTTGCATAAAAGCTAAAGTCTTAGAAGTAAATCGACTTCCTATCAGAATGACTTGATACTTTTTGAAATCTATAGTACTTAGTTTCCATTTCCAAAGCTTCTTTCAACGTGTTAGGAGGCTAGCCCAATGAACAAGTTTTTTTTTTTTTTAAATTTTATTAGGATGAACTAAGTATTTTTTAAACATTTCCTTAAGAACAGTCAAATTTGGAAACCATCAGTTCAGTTCATCTTCTCTGTCCTACTGATGAGGAAAATGAGGCCCAGAGTGGTGAAATGACCTAGCCGAACTATCAGCAGATTGAAATCCAGATTTTTTACCCAGAAAATAGTTATATTATTATCAGACACAGTTGAAGAGGCTGTGCTTGTACAATTTCTCTGAAGAAATATGGGGATTTTGCTTGACACAAACTAAGCTTTACAGTAACATAAAGGGGTTAGAGGAGTTGAGATTGGTTCTCAAGAAACTTACAATGAATGGATAAAAGAAGATGGCAGCCAATCCAGTAAATAAAAGCACATTTCAGGAAAAGTATTTACGAATGTGTTGACCCCTCTATACTTATGTATGTGTTGAAATGGTTTCCTCCTCTACAATCCTATAGAATTTTGTTTCTGTCTCCCTAATGGACCACTTCCAGACTCGACGTTATCAGAATTCTCTTTGTTGAGTTTTGAGCCTGGCCCATGGGTAGGAAAGTGCCAAGCCTTTTCTTAGTGAGCTTTGTGGCCAGCCAGCCAGTGCTGTACACACAGCAGGAACTGAAGAGCATTTGGGGACTGGTATGCAAGGAAAAGCGGTATTGAAGGTCATGTGATCAATTACTTAATGCTCAATATGTGTGCTGTGAACTGAATTTGTCCTAAAATTCATATGTTGAAGTCCTAATTCATAATGTAATGGGACCGTTACTTTCTGCTGGGGACTGTGCTTCACCCGGGGTAGGTGAAGGATCCCAATATGGCTGGGCGCAAACTTACTCTAAAAGCCATTGACTGGATAGCTTTTGGGGAGATCATACCCCGAAACCAAAAGGCTGTTGCTAACTCCCTGAAGTCCTGGAATGAGACCCTCAGCTCCAGATTGGCTACATTACCTGAGAAGCCACCAGCTATCGACTGGGCATACTACAAGGCCAATGTGGCCAAAGCAGGCTTGGTGGATGACTTTGAAAAGAAGTTTAATGCCCTGAAGATTCCTATGCCAGAGGATAAATATACTGCCCTGGTGGATGCTGAAGAAAAGGAAGATGTGAAAAGTTGTGCTGAGTTTGTGTCTCTCTCAAAGGTGAGGGTTACGGAATATGAGAAACAGCTGGAGAAAATGAAGAACATAATTCCTTTTGACCAGATGACCATTGAGGACTTGAATGAAGTCTTCCCAGAAACAAAATTAGACAAGAAGAAGTATCCCTATTGGCCTCACCAGCCAATTGAGAATTTATAAAATTGGGTCGAGGAGGAAGCTCTGCTCCTTACCTTACAAGCTCTGGACAATAAAAATAAAAGTAATGCTATAGTTCAAAAAAAAAAAATAATAATGTAATGGGATGTGGCCTTTGGGAGGCGATTAAGTTTAGATTAGGTCATGAGGGTGGAGCCGCCACGATGGGCTTAGTGCCCTTATAAGAAGAGATGAGACTCTGGTCTACTCTGGTCTCCAATCTCTCTCTCTCTCTCTCTCCCCCCCTCTCCCCTCTCCCCTCTCCTTTCTCTCTCTCCCTCTCCCTCTCCCTCTCCCTCTTTCTGTGTCTGTCTCTTTCTACTCTGTGAAGATTCAGCAAGAGAGCAGCTATCTACAAATGAAGAAGAAAGTCCTCTCTAGACAATGAATCTGCTGACACCATTTTGGACTTCCCAGCCTCCAGAGTGTTGTTTAAGCCACCCAGTCTATGGTATTTTGTTATAGCAGCCCAAGTGGTCGAAGACAATGTGCATTACACTGAACTAAGTGGTAGTTAGAAAAGCAACTTTTTTTGTGTGTGTGAGTACTGGGGTTTGAACTCAGGGCCTCAGAGTTGCTAGGCAGGCAAGTGCTCTACCACTTGAGCCACTGCTCTAGCCCTTTGCATTGGTTGTTTTTGAGATAGGGCCTTGAGTTATGCCCACGCTGGCCTTGAACCTCGATCCTCCCAATCTTGGCTTCCACATAGCTAGGATTATAAGCTTGAGCCACCTTGCTTAGTTTTTGTTTGTTTGTTTGTTTTCTGCAGTAATGGGATTTGAACTCAGGGTTGTATATTTGCTAGGCAAGCACTGTACCACTTGGCCAGGCCTCTTGCCTTAAATGAATGAATAAATAAATAAATAAAATCATTTATCAAGGGATTGGGGGTGTAGCTCAGTAGTACAGTGTGTGCTTAGCAAGTACAAGACTCTAGGTTTGATCCCAGCACTGCATATATATATATCACAGAGATATATATATATCCCCCTGTGATTGGGATAGGTATAAATGCAGACTACTATAGATATATTGACCTGGAGACTATGCTGAGAGGAAATGATTCCTGACTATGCTGAGAGCAGCATTACTGAGAATGACCTGTGTTTCTAAAGTGGTGAACACAGATAAAATTCTGAACCTAAGAAAACACAATTTTCCCTGAATTTGCACAAAGTTGAATTCCTAGAAAATTCAATGTAAATTAAAAATTATAAAAGGAATATTTTGTGTTCATATGCAGAAAAGAAATAAGTTCCAGGCTTAGATAAACCTAAATTTTTCACCTACTTGAGTACTAGGCATCACAAGAGAAATTCTGGATGCAAAATATACAGACTAGGTTTTTAAAAGCTGGCTATTTTAATATCTATCAGAATCATAAATGCAAATACATTTGTGTGTGTACGTTCGCGTGCGTGCGCACATGCACGTGTTTCATATGGACATTGAACCCAGGGCTTTATGCCTGCCAGGCAAGGGCTCTACCACTTGAGCTGCCTTTTGTTTTTGAGATGGAGTCGTACTACCTTTGCCTCGGCCGGCCTCGAACTCATGATCTTCCTGCCTCAACCTCCTGAGTACTGGGATTACAGATGTGTACCACAGCACCCAGGCAGTCAGAACATATGGGTCAGATCTTCCCTGTATGCATCTCAGGCTATCCAGCATCAAGTCTATCTATTGATGCCAATAGTTCTCTGGCCCAGCACCCACCATGTGACAACCCCCAAAAATCCAATATACATCTATGGCACCTATGACAGCTCCCACTGACAGCTGCTGGTCCGAGGAGGAAAGTCTACCATGTTCCCACACATTTCCTTGGGATATTGCTAAAATGCAGATTCAGGAGTTCTGGGGTGGGGCGTAGCAATCTGCATCTCCACCGTGGCCCCAAATGATGTCCCTGCTGCCTGTCTCCAGACCAAGGCCAGAGAGATCAGAGGAAGAAGCAATGGCCTGGGTTTAGGCAGTAAAGACTTCACAGAGAAGAAGGGAACGCAAACAGGCCTTGAAGAAAGACGGGCGTGGAGCTGATGGCCTCCCCTGAGGCTGGGCTGTGGGGAGGCTGGCCAGCTGGACCAGCAGGAGGTAGCCTAGCATACTGTGCCCACAGCCAGTAAACAGCCCGCAGCCTACAACGGCAGTACCACTCCTGACAAGCAGGGTAAAAATAACAACTCCCTGTTGGGGTTGAATTCGCCAGACCCTGGTGAAGTTCATTTCTTTCAATAAATCCAGCAGCTTCTCCTTTGATAAATACTGTCAAGGCTGGAACATGTGGTGGTAACAAAATATGGTTTTAATTTGGGGCCCACTGCATTCACGGTTAAATACTGTGTGTGTGTGTGTGTGTGTGTGTGTTGTGTGTGTGTGTGTGTGTGTGTGTGTGTACACAAAAGCAGCTTCGCAGCCAGCCAAGTTAATATGCCTGGGCTGAAAATGGCTGAGCCCATGAGGATTCAGTTATACGGATTTTGCTGCTCTGAAAGCCTCCTAATCACCATCATCAATTTTAATGCTCCAAGACTGCTCATGAACAGGGAAGCTTTTAAAGTTCAGCCATTTGTGTGTTTGCATCCAGTGCAGAAGCAAGCCACACATTTGTTTTCCTGGTATTTTATAACCACTTTATTGTCATATGTTGTTTGACATTCAGAGAATAACAGGCTGTTTTAATCAACAACTCAACACTGCATTAAAACTTGATGGTCCATAGATTTGTAGCAAAGGGAGGAGGGGGCAGTAGGGGAAGCTGAAGGGAGGATGGGGGGTGGGGGGAGGAAATGAGAATTGGAGTTTAGCAACAGACCCTGGCTTGTTGTGGTGGGATTCAGTCCTGGGAACACAGAAATTCCAAGTGTTTTTGCTGGTGTGAGAGTGTCAGTCTTGGAACAGGCCAGGGAAAGGAGAAAACTGGCTGAACAAGTTTCTGTCTGGCCCCTGCAGTGGACACCGCTGGTAACTGGACCTCCAGATCGCATGAATAATGAAGAAGTCTGCTGCTTCCAGAGGGGCGGGGGTGGGGGGGGGTCACAGGAACTGTAGAGGCAATGACCCAGCAAACCAAAGATTACAGCACCTGGCCAAGAATCTTGTCTGGAGACACAGCAGAGAAGGAGGGCAGCAGCAGGTGTCCTTAAGGTGGTGGGTGCACAAGAGGTGGGATGGGGGCAGGAGGGAGAAGCTCCCTGAACCTCCCAGAAGACCAGCTGCTCAGGAAGGTGAGCAAAGAGTGCTGGGTGATTTCCTAATATGAGCAAGAATCAAATAATTTTCTGAAAGGACTAGAAGGTTATCCTGAGGGGAGCTAATAGGAATCCTCTTTCTAGTAGATGTTTGCATGTTACATTTAAAATATTTGTTGAAAATATATTTTCTAGACTGGAAATATAGCTCAGTGGTAGAGCGCTTGCCTAGCCTTCACTGAAAGACCTTGTATTCCATCCCCAGCACTACAAAAAAAAAAAAAAAAAACCCAAAATGTGTTTCTCTTTTTATTATTATGCAATACTTTTCCAGATACTCATAACAAGCAAGGGAATCTAAAGGCAAACACCTTTGTGGAACTCTCTAAACCTGAGGCTTGAACCCAGGACCTTGTGTATGCTAGCCAAGCCACATTCTCAGCCCATGAACTTTGGGAATGCATACTTATTTTCATTTGTGTGCCAAAAGTCAAACATGCTTATTATAGAAAAATGTAAGACATTAAAAAGTGTTGACATTGTTTTAAAAATCAGGTCCGCTTAATTACTAAGAGAAGTCTTTCCCTTGGCTACTTTTTTTTTTTTTTCTTTGTGATACTGGGGCTTAAACTCAGGTCTGCATCTTGGGCCACTCCACCAGCCCCTTCTTTTGTGAACAATTTTTTTCGACATAGGGTCTTGCGAACTATTTGCCTGAGCTGGCTGATCTCTGCCTCCTGAGTAGCTAGGATTACAGGTGTGAGGCACTAGTGCCTGACTTCCCTGGGCTACTTAAAGCTATTAGTTTCAGGCTTTGCAAAGCCTTGAGTTCAAACTCTGATACTGACAAAACAAAAACAAGATGATCAGGTTTAATTTAGGAGGCACTTAAAAGTAACCAATGAGGACTGAATGAATAGAGAGTCTCCGTGTATTTTCTAGTGGTCTCAGGGGTCCTCTGTGTTTTCTCTGGTCTTCTGGAGGAAGCGAGAAAGGCAGTGCCCTCCCCAAATGCTGGTGTGCGGATGCTGGCAAGCTGTTGTCCAAGTTAGGTGAACATTCAGGGGCACTGCTGCATTTGGCACTGGCTTCTTTTTTTCCCTGGATTGCTCCCTTGCTCATGGAAGGGCTTGGGAGGAGGGACTGGCAGTTTCTCTGGAAAAAGGATTCAGACTCCTAACGGTATAGAGATTGTATATCATTAGAAGAGGGGGGAGGAATTTGTTCCTGTGCATTCATCACAGCACTGAAATGCTATAGGCACAGGAGGTCAGAGGGCAAACCAAACCAAATTTAGCAAGTGGAACAAGCCTCTAATTGGAGGTCTGGATTCCACATTAAAAGCCATTCTCCACCTGATACCTTTTTAAGATACCGCTGTGGTACCTGCATTTCACGGGTTTCACTCATTGCTGGTCCCCAAGCACCCTGACCATGAAGCAATGATACAGCAGGGAACCTGCTTCCAGCAGCCCTGAGCCGAAGGCTAAGTGGAAAAAGAGTCAGCATTTCTTTTTAAGGCTCCTGTCTCTCTAATTTATAAGCATTTAATAAGCATTTAACCTTCTCCAGGCATCTTGGTCCCATTCCTTCCCCAATACCCATTTTAGTGAACTTCTGTGGTTTCTGTCCACTTCTAGTAACTAAGAACCAAGTTTTCATCAGGGCAATTTGTCCTCCCCCAATCTCAGACCCTGTGGGTCAGATGTAAGTGACACCCCTCTGAATGTCAGTCAATTTATCCTATCACGAGTCACGTGATTGGTCTAAGCAGAGCCTATGCGAGACAGTGATATTTTCCCAGACACTTCTGGAAAGAGGCCCTCACTTATTCTTCTGTAGCAAACACCTGATGGCAGGGTTGACACATTTACCATCCCCT